AGCATCTCTGTATAGTATGTGTATTCACTCTCTGTCCTAAACGGCTTGTTGGAGCTCCTGCCCCCCCCCTCCCTGTGAGCCCAGTGTGCTCTGATTGGCCGGGACTTTGCGAGGCTCGCTGCTGCGAGGAGCGGACAGGTTTCCGGGTCGGCGATACAGCGAGAACAAGTGAAACTCATCCTGAGCACACACAAACACTCACAGCCAAAGTAAAAACAATAAGTGTGGCTTGATATTGAGAAAGAAAAAGGTTTGTAACGCTGAGAGAATGGGTCTGCAGAGAGCATTTCTCCACCATCCCAACTCGTCTATTACCAACCAGGGAGCTCGATGCAAGTCAATGGGACTCCCTGTTAGTTAGCCAAGGGATCCTGGTGTGGGAGGTGCTCCGCTGATTGGTCCATTTGGGCCAATCCGGTCATCTGTTGTTGATTTGAGTGTTCACACGTCACAGAACCCAGGAAGTAAACAATGGAAAATGAGAAATCTCCAACGAGGCGTTTTGGGGCAGCATAGGTTAGAGTTTTACTCGCTACAGGGTGTACTTTGAGGGTTTGTGACTCTGCAGACCGGTTACATGCAGAAAAATCTTCATAACACATAAGTGGATGGTTAATAACCGCAAAGCATGACATGGGACCTTTAAGATGCCAAAACTATGTGGTTAAATTAAGGAAACATATCATGGTTTTGGTTCAAATAAGTAGGTGTAGCAGGCTCCTTCTAACCCATATCTATGAGGATGATAATGGCCATTTAATGGGCTGTTTGAATCATATGAAGCAGGTGAATAACTAATGTGTTACGCATGGCACTCTTTATTTAATCAGGTTGATATTGAAACTCTGTTTTTCAAGGGACACAAAACCTCTAAATCTAACTAATTCTTCCAGACAAAATTGTGTTGTGACACTTTTCGATCTGCTCAAGAAGAAGAAATTAAGAATCATCAATTTACAAAATGTAAATAGTCAGAGAGATATTTGTTCTTGAGATTTCCTGTCTGCTGTCAACCTGTTATCCATGTGTCCATCATTTACAAAAGGTAGACACCAGTAAATCAAGATGTCTTTGACAGATTCCGGGGAGAAAAACACATTTCCCACGTCAAACTCATGAACAGGCTCTTTGAAAAACTGGCACCGAACAAGCTTCTCTGTCTGCTCGCTAATGCTGCGAGACGTGAGGAAAATCTTCAGTCGACAGCTGAATTCCTGCAGTCTGAGACACGCTGAGAACGTTTCTCACCGTGTCAGAACATTACAGGTGTTTTCTTCTTCTCTTGTTCAGCTGTAGGAAAAGTGTTTAACTCGGCACGGTTGTTTGTCTGGCTGTGTCAGGAGCCCTCTTTTTTTTGGTCTGTTTTTTGGAGGGAAGGTTCTCATTAGACATGCATTCCTCACATTCCTACCTGAGAGCTTTTACTGCTGATCAGCAAGACGCCGCACTGGAGGAATATGTTTATACTCTACCCTGCTAGCTTAGAAAAAAACCTTCTGGTTTCTTGTCAGAGAGGTTAAAGGTCAGTTTAAACACAGACACCCCAAAGCTGGTATGGATTTTCTGAGTGATTCTGAGGCAGTATGGCAATAATAAAAGATGAATGTGTGTGCAAAATGAGGGTTAGAACTTTTTATATATGCCGACTCAACACCGAAAACCAGCCATTTAAAGACTTTAATGTTAAGCTGATTTTGTGGGAGAGTAACTACACAGGGATTTTAGCCTTTACAGATCATTTACATGCACAAAAGACCTATGTAACACAGCATGATAGGGCCCCTTTAAGATAGTTTTAGATGTGACGATGTTGGATGTTCCACATACAGTAAAATCTTCTACTCTGAGGGTCAATCTGTGTGTCAGTCAGGTCTGATGGTCAGCACAGAGTATCTGTTCAATGTTCAGTGTGATCTGGTCCTTCCTAGCGATATCAAACATGTCTCATATGTGTGACCTGGTACACAAAGTCCTGAACAAACTCTGTCAAGTGAAGGGTAAACAAATAACTCGTTGAATGGACATTAACAGTGCTAACTAAGCAAACAATGAGATGCACCTTTAAATGTTTCAGCCACCGTTTTATAAGTTGTTTTTAGTTATATTTATCATATTTTCCTTTTAGCGCAATCTAGAAGCCAAGTTTCCACATGTTTTGCAAGACAAATCTGAAGGTTGTTAAAAAGATACAAAGATATGAATGACCAAATGTATGAATTGATTGACAAAACGTTCTAATCTCAAGGTCCATTGTGTTTCTTATTTATAGTTCAACTGTGTTTTCAAGGCTAAGAATAAAGATTGAATCTCATCAAAAGTTAACATATCAAAGGAACATCACTCTTTGGTTGATCTGCTTCACAGCTCATATATATACTGTATGTAAACTGTGCACAAGTAGGTGTTGCAAGGTCAAACGTTTGGAAACCATTGATTAATATGAAGTCTTAAGAGACGATCTGCAACTCAGCTGTTTGCTAAGGCCGGTCATGTTTCTAGGAACAGTCTGTATAACCTCCAGTTAGTCACGGATTCTCCTTAAATCTCAGCATGTGAGTCCTTGACAGTCTTTGATTCAATCAGTTGAGCAGCAGAGAGCTGGAGATGTTTACCAAGAAACACACATACAATACTTATGAAGACATAAACACACACTCTCAAGTCGGTTGCACACTTAGAAATGCACTCAGACGTATGTGAACACAAATTCATCAAGTATGCATGCACATAAGTGGCAAACACCATGCACTTTGATACAGAATAGTGAGCACACACACTTGAGATGTGGGATCCTCACAGCTTCTCTGCGCTCAATACTGCCATCTTCATATTTCTGTTAACGCTGCCTCGTTATCTCTCTCTAACTCTCCTTTTCTCACTCCTGGAAAGAGCAGCTGCTTTCAGATATCTGGGATTCTTTTCTTATTTCCCCACTTATTGTTGAGACAGAGCTTTGTTATTGGAGCAAAAGGTCAATGCTTCATTCAAGACTCAAAGATTCAAAGGCTTTATTTAGGGATGTCCCGATCACCTCTTTTTGCTCCCGATCCGATTCCGATCATTTGATTTTGACAATTTGCCGATACCGATCTTTATGCAATGCATTAAGAGAAAAAAAAAAAAAAAAAAGCATTCAAGTTGTCCCTTAAGGTTATTTTTTTTTAATTTAAATTGGATATTCTATCCAACATGGATATAGCTTCTTTCTTTCACAGCAGCATTGGATCAGTTCAGTTGTGCAGCATTGGATCAAAACAAAATAAAGCTTATCAGTACTCGTTAACTTACTGCTACAATTAGACACTGCGCCCACTCTGTTGCCAGATTTGAGAGAAATAAGCAACCAGGTCTATGAAAACAAGCCCCAAAGAAGCAACACATACATGATGTTCTGTAATTTGAAACCAAAACTAAGGCCTCAGGATGACTTTAATACTTGAACATGGTCATTTTTGTTTTGTAATATTGAATAAAAAAATAAAAAAAGTATTTATAAAAAAAAAAAAAAAAAAAAAAAATCCCCGATTTTTTTCGTCCCGATTCCGATCTTTTGAAAATCACGTGATCGGCTCCGATCCCCGATCACGTGATCGGATCGGGACATCTCTAGCTTTATTGTCATATTTTCAATAGCTACAGCATAGCTTTGGAAATGCAACACACAATAACCCCAAGACATAATAAGAAATAGTGCAAGAGAAGGGTCACAATTTGCAGGTAAAAGCAGAAATAAGTCAACAATATTGATGTAAAATAGCATCGAATAACAGAATGTAAAATCATATACTGCACAAGGGGAATAACACGATGCTTATAAGATGAAAGCCAGTGGATTAATTGAGAAATATGCGCTCATTTGTGTACAAAAATATGAATTCTCTCTGAATGTGCATGCGTTTTGAAGACAAACACAGTTACACTCGCCTGTTTCTTACACTCTGATCTTGATGTTTGAGATTAAATGGACCTTACACCACGCTACCCTACATCTGTGACTATAAATATTGATCTTTTTACCAAGCAGAGGAAGCTAGATGAGCAGATGTTGCCGTTCCCCCATCATACATTAAATAATTCACCATACAGCTGCTGCATCTGACCATCTCTCTTCACCGTTAAATGCTGCGTCATGAGAGATGTCCAGTCAACGGTGATGATACAGGAATGACGGGTTTTGTAATTACCATCATTATTATTGATGCACCTACAAAGTGCAGCTGCTGTATTTAAACAATTTGCTTAAATGTGAAATGCTCGGCTCTCATTATTTCGGGTGCATCGACTATCAGAGCGAGAAGACAAAACATTGCCCACGCCTCAAATTAGTCGAAAAGAGGAAGTCACTGTCCAAAACATGTCGAGAAAAACACATCTGATAACTTCAGTGGTGGATTCACAGTTTGGGTGTGTCTTTTTTAAGCTTCGCTAGCAGTCAAGTCAAAGTGCTTGCATGAAGTTCAGGGATTATTAAACTTCCCACAATGCATCTTAATAGTATCTTTTAATAGGCTCTCCATGCCTCCAGTTTGTAGCACCGACTTTCCTGTTAAACATTTGCAGTAAATCAACTTTCTGGTGTAAAGTCAGTGGAATGTCTCTATAAATATAAATAGCACAGATTTTGAGCAGATAAATTAGACACACTAATTACTCATGCATGTGCTTCACAGCTGGGTGCATTCAAGCAAAAACACACATGAGGAACAAACACTGGGGCCAAATGATCCACTGGGGCTCACTAATGTTTGCAAAAAAAAGATAATTATGAGGTGAATGAAATAAAATCTTAGGTCCCAGGCTCCTCCAACAATAACACGGATACAATTGTGCAAGGAGAGTCTATATACAAGTAATTGGAATAAGATATATCAGATAAGTAGTTGCAAACAGATGAATGTTATGGATGTTCTTTCAAAAGTTCAGGTGTTTAAGAGTCGTGTGGCCTGTGTCTATGTTTTATTGCAGCACTCTTAACTTATATCTCCTCTTCTCTCCTTCAGGTATGACTTTGTGGAGGTCTACAACGGCGGGGACGAGCTTTCCCCCATGTTGGGAAAGTTTTGCGGGAAGATCGCTCCGTCTCCGATCATCTCCAGCGGCAGCCAGCTGCTCATCAAGTTCGTCTCCGACTACGAGACGCACGGAGCGGGATTCTCCGTTCGCTACGAGGTCTTCAAGACAGGTAGGATTAGGGTTTCATAACGTAAACTGCTGATATTGCCTCGCTGCAGCCGCAGTGTTTTGAACACTCCGCTAGATGTGATGAATCGCCTCATGGAAAGCAGCCAATTTAAATTAAATTGTAGTTTGGCCAGGGCTCCACAGGTTCGTTCTGCAGCGTTCGGATCGATGGTATGCATCAACCTGCGACGTGCTGATAGAAAAATAATCAGCAGTTAATATTCTTTTTACATATTTCAGAAGGCAGGCGTGCTGCTAAAGAGCAACAGGGGATTATAACTAACACAACAGACACTTTTGTTGGTATTTAACAATCAGGGACTACAGATGAAAAATAGCCTCTTGGCTAACTCTGGCACATTTACAGAAATGTTCATTGATGTGCTGTTAAATAAATGAATAAATAAAAACATTTCTTATCAATCCAGTGTCATATCTAATAATAATAATAATAGTAATAATAAAAACATTAGACACCCAAGGACACCTTATAATCCATAGAACAAATACTCATCAGGTAAAACAGAAAAAAATACATTGTTTAAAATATCGAAAATACAAAAAGCTGGGTTTTTTGAAAGGTTTTGGCACCATAAAAGTTCACTTATCACTAAAATAGTTGTCTGACATGGCAAGAAAAACTATTGTAGATGCTGTCAACAAACCCCACAGGTTAGTCACACTTATTTTGTAAAGAGCGAAGGCAAATTATATGAAAATGTAAAATTATTCATGCTTATGTGAAAATATATTGTGGTTTTAACCAAGTAATATGACAAAAAAAAGCATGTTATGAAATGTATTCACACAGTCTATGATAATCCTACTTATCCTCTACCACATGTATTTTGCACACAACAAAGTAGGGCTGCTCGATAATGGCAAAAATCATAATCTCGATTATTTGGGTCAATAATTGATATCACGATTATTAAAAACGATTATCTATTTACTTTGAAAACATCAATTTATTGAAAGAAAATGTGAACAGTATGTTTTGAAAAGTTGATTATCCTGAACTTTAAGTATAATTCAACTGAAAAACCAATACAATAAAAAAAAATAAAATAAAAAAATAAAAAATAAAAAAAAAATAATCGTTTTATATCGATTATGTTGTTTTCATAATCGTTGCCAGCCAAAATCGTAATTGCGATTAAAATACGATTAATTGCGAAGGCCTAAAACAAAGCATCTATTTCCTCGTGTTTATTTATCAAAAGAGCATCTTAAAATAGCCTTTGTGGGAATGTAGTGTTCTCTGAGGTTGTCTAAACAGCCTGAGCTCTGGTACACTGACCTCTAATCTTGCAATCAGATAAACTCAAAGACCCAGAATGCCGTAGGAGGAACATTGAGTCCCAGCGGGGGCAGGATGTGAGCAGGATAGACGGACATAAACATGGGAAGGAACCTTGCTCCCGTGTCCTACATTTTGCATTTGCTCTTCTCTCTCGGGTCCACTTGATTATCTGCCAAACAGGCAACCCCCTGGGGCCACTTCAGTTCCCACCAACGGGGACCGGAGATAAATCAGATAAAAAGGGGACATGCGATTACGTGAGACTCCTCTCCTTTTTATTGTTTGCACCCCTGAGAGCAATAACTATTCTCAGAATCACTGGATCCAGGAATAACTCTCCCTCTCTGGACTTGTGTTGAAAGATGAAAAATTGATACCCGAGTGCTTTTGTTTATTTTTAAATGCGGAGCAAGGCGGTAATATGAACCTTACTCACACGAGAGCTGCTCATAAGACTACAAATAATGGCCTTTCTTCTACAAACACAACTTTCAAATGTAATTTCAGGGTGAAAAGTGGAGCTGTGAGTGACAAGATGTTATTAGAAAGTGAGTGTAACACATCTTTGAAAGTAGGTCGCAGCCTGAACATTTTCCCAGTGGGATTTTTAACGACATAGCTTCCACATGTGTGATGATAGAGGTTTGATATCTGATATAATGATCACATTGGGTTCATTCGTGTATAGAGGGGTCACAATGCCATTTACTTTCAGAAAATGACCAACTTCATATCTTTTTTTACAGGGTGTCCGCGGGGTCTTAACAAGTAAAAATCAATTTAGCGAAAATTAAGGCTATTAAAAAGTATTAAACGACATTTTCGAAGGCATTACATTTTGTAGCTTGTTTCCAATAAGTATATAGATTGTCCAAAGAGGTTGTATTCTACAGTCTGNAAGGACAATCAATACGGTATATAGTCAATGTGAGGTGAAGTGTGTCGCCAAGGTAACCGGTTAAAATAAAATAAAAATACTTAAAGTTCCAAAAATACCGTAACTTCCAAAAATACTTAAAAGTTCCAAATTTACTTAAAGTTCCAAATATACTTAAAGTTCCAAAAATACTTAAAGTTCCAAAAATACTGTAAATTCCAAAAATACTTAAAGTTCCAAAAATACTTAAAGATCCAAAAATACCGCTAATGGTTGGAAGATAAGGAGGAAGGACAATCAATACTGTATATAGTCAATGTGAGGTGAAGTGTGTCGCCAAGGTAACCGGTTAAAACTCAAAGTGACGATGAGGTCTTAAAATGTATGGAAAGGGTCTTAAAAAAGGGATTACATGTGACTTCAGGATTCCTGCATATACCCTGTTTTATGAAATAGACAGCTCTGATAGTGGTAATAGTTTGTTAGAAAGGGGATGAATCATCAATTTTGATATGTCAAAGTGTCAGTTCTTTCATTTCCTCTAGTGATATATCAAGAATATCAAGAATATATCAAAACATGTGGAAAAAGAGAACCAAGAGGTTCATTTCAGTAATTCACACCTGCTTTAAATCTATAAACGCTCTGGCTTTCTCGTATCTAAGAAGAAGTGAGGGATGGACTAATCTAGCATTGAGTGATTAAAGATTGACACCTGGTTTGAACAGGATGTCCCATAATGCAATAGTCTTAATCTGTTTTCTGCGTTGTTTGATAGTCAGTTTTTAGTCTTGCCTCAGTGCATACTAAGAAATACTACCAGTACCTGTTACTATCCCGTAGTGGAAAATGAAAACAAGGCAAGCCAAGTCAAACATATGGAAATGTACCATTGGTTTGGAAAAACATAATCATGGCTTCAATTTTGTTTTTGAAAATGCTTGATATTGAAGATGGGAACGAAGTGGAGAATTGAGACTGGATCTGAGTTTTGAATTGGCTATAACTCAACTTGATTTGCCTTAAGAAGAAAAGGACTTGGGACTTGCTTGACACTTTGACCAAATGACTAAATTCACATGTCTTCTGCATTGTGTGTGTGTGTGTGTGTGTGTGTGTGTGTGTGTGTGTGTGTGTGTGTGTGTGTGTGTGTGTGTGTGTGTGTGTGTGTGTGTGTGTGTGTGTGTGTGTGTGGGTGGGTGGGTGTGTACGCTGCTTCTGTCCCTTCTCGTGTTTATCAGAGAAAGAGGTCGACTGTCTTCCTGTTGTTTTTGAGCACGTCCTGCTGCTGTCTGCTCTTCCCCGACTACTGTTGCTAAGAACTCCTGTGTGTTTTTGTTTTGTGCTGTGTCTTTTTTCAGGTTTATCAGCTGCCTGTCTTGTGTTGCTACGTCTCTGTGTGTATGTGTGTGTGAATGTGCGTAATCATGTCTTTAGTTTATCATCGTCTGCTATTTCCCTTTACTCTGTCTCTCTGTTTTGAAAATTATTCGTCTACATCTGGCTTGATTTGTTCTTGTGTGTGTGTCCATGCATGTGTTTGTGCATGTGTGTAATTATGTGTGTGTAGCAGACAGGTGCGTGGGACCCCAGGCTCATTTAGCTAATGGTCTGTTTGTCCTTGGAGGCAACAGGGTGACCCGCAGATGAGATGGATGCTCTGGCACAGAAGAGGGGTTTCGAAACTAGGACAGCGTGTGTGTTTGTGTAAGGAGTGTGTGTGTGTGTGTGTGTGTGTGTGTGTGTGTGTGTGTGTGTGTGTGTGTGTGTGTGTGTGTGTGTGTGTGTGTGTGTGTGTGTGTGTGTGTGTGTGTGTGTGTGTGTTGGCCTCAATATGGGTCCTCTACCCTCTAACAAGTTAAAAACAGCCCTTGTACTCGCTCAGGTAATCCCCCTGCCTTCCTCCTCGCCACATTTAAAATCCATTAAAGGCAGAGCAGCATATTGAAGAGCTGCTGCTCTGTTTACACGCGCACACACACACACACACACACACACACACACAAACACACA